AGATCCTAATGTCAAATATCATAATAAATTATTTCTAAAATAAGAAGATGAATCCTACGATGAAATGTTTATTTCATGAAGTATGTTAAGATCTTTTAATGGATTTGACGAAGAGAAAGAGAAGGGCAGAGAATCTAAGATTGGAGGATCGTTTTTTAAGGGAAAATTGCCTCTAGCCTCCAAAATGAGTCAAAGTGTTTCACCCACTCCAAAGACTTTTTCAACCCTCCCAAAACCCCCAAAAGTAAACTTATAATTCTCTGAGCCCCAAAACACAAAACTAAAAAGTTTTAAACATGTGAAGATCATAATACATTTTCTCTCTCTCTCTCTCTCAGTTTCTCTCAATTAGCTTTCTCTCTCATCAAATCAATAGAGATTTCAGCTAGGGAATTTTGTAGGGATCAGAAGTCCCCATCTCCTTCAACCTTGCCTAACAGCAGCTCGAGAAGTAGCACGAGCTCCAACAATGGTTGCTCGACAAGCAGCACGAGCTCCAACAATGGAGCTCAGCCATCAGCATCCCTCCCTCCTCTAACTCCCAAATCAAATCCTAACCATAACCCTAATCTGTACCCAATGACCTTCATCAAAGACGACACTCAATTCTTCAAACAAGCCATCCAAATGCTCATCGGATCCTTAACATCGAGTAGTGAAGAAAATGGTGATGAGGACAAAGTCAAAGGGTGGTAGATGCGGCTTATCGGGTTATCGGGTTTCGGATCTGTGTCGGATGGTATATCGGACTCGAAGATGGCCGGCGATCAGCAGTAGAGGGTGGGGATCACTATTGGAGAAGGATGACTGATGCCGAGCTCGCTGAGGATCATTTCGTCGTGCTTGAAGACGGTCTCGTCCAACGCCGGCAGCATTACGACTACCATTAGATTTGCCAGAGCTTCGGTTACTGCTTCGAACGCGTCCCGACCGAGGCTAATAGAGACCAGGTTTTAATTTTTTTATATTTTTTTAATAATAAAATGAGTCTATTTGTTAGGATCTCTGGTTAATTATGAGAAAGGAAACGGTTGTTGGCTGTTTTGTTTGGTAAAAATTTGGAAAGTTGTGATCTTTTGTTGGTTGTTAAGGTTACGTGTTGGTTGTAAAAGTTACGGGTTTATTGCTAAGCTTACACGTTTATTGTGAAGGTTACACATTGGTTGTGAATGTTACGTGTTGGTTTTAAAGGTTACGATTTGGTTGTGAAGAATACGCGTTGGTTGTGAAGGTGTTACAGGTTGGTTGTTAAGGTTACGAGTTACTTGTTAAGGTTACGTATTGGTTGTAAAGGTTACGAGATGGTAGTTAAGGTTACACGTTGGTTGTCAAGGTTATGTTGTCAAGGTTACAGGTTGGTTACGAAGGTTATTGATTGATTGTTAAAGTTACAGGTTGTTTGTGAAGGCCTTACGGGTTGGTTGTGAAGTTTGTTCAAAATCCTTTTCTTTAATGTTACTACAGTAATTTTCTTCAAAATAATGTTACTACAGTAATTTCATCATTTTCTTCAGTAATTAAACCGGTGTTTATAAGTTATATTAAAAACATTTTGTGCCAAAATAAAGTTCATAGAAAGAGGAGGGGAAAATAGAACTACAGAAAGAGTAAAGATTAGAGAACAATTTTCAACAGGCCCATGCTATAAGAATAAAACACATCAAAAAAGAAACTAAAACATATTTTCTTTCTTGTACAATATTATGCTAAAAGCAATCATAAAGAAACTAACACAATATTATGCTATAAGCAATCTAAAGAAACTAAAACATATTTTCTTTTTGAAATAATGTGAAGGTTTATGTGTTGGTTGTTAAGGTTACGGGTTGGTTATTAAAGATAAGCGTTGATTGTGAATGTTACGCGTTGGTTGTGAAGTTAACCTTCATAATCAACTCCTGAATGAGGTTCACAACCAAACCCGTAACTTTCACAACCAACTCGTAACCTTAACAATCAACTCATGACCATCACAACCAACCCATAACCTTAACAACTAACTCGTAACATTAACAACCAATGCGTAATCTTAACAATCAACCGTAACCTTCATAATCAACCATTAACAATCAATCGTAACCTTCACAACCAACTCGTAACATTCACAATCAATGTGTTGTTGGCCTTCTTGTTTGGATGATGATTTACAAATAATTTACTACTAATGTTGTTTGTCTAGTGTTTGTGTTTTCCTATGTATTGTAGACAAATAATGTTGTTGGAGGATGGATGGAATAGAGCTTCAACGATCATATCCAAAGGAGGTTGGCGGAATGTCGGTGAAGCCTTACAATTCAAGTTAAAGATCAAGTTCAAGCTTCATCCGCAACATGTGCCAAGTTGAGCTACAATGAAGATCAAGATCATTGCTTGGGTAATTTTAGTTTAGGTGTTATATTATGTGTGTTAGATACTCTAAGCTCAATATCGTATACACACACATTTATTGGTTTCTTCGTATACATATATAGTTATATATATACATAAGTTTTGGTTTCTATACATATATATAGTTATACATATACATACATAGTTTTTGAGTTTTCATGTTTATAATATGAAATCACATATTTCATATTTACTATTGTGTTTTTGAAAACATTGCATAGAATATGCAATTTTGTGAAAATATTGTATTCTTAGTTTGTATACTTGAATATCAGTTTATACATGTTTTACTAAGTGTATAAAACATTTCACAAAGTTTTAAAAGTTGGTTTATGTCAAAACATCAAAATTCAAGTATCTCATATTTTCATGTTTTGGACTATTTTGTAAAATGATGATATTTTTTATTTGGGAGGTCCTTTTTGATAACCAGTCACTGTAGCATGTTTATTATCATGTCTACAATCATTCCCCAAAGTTTTACATTTTTTAGAATTTATTTGATATTTTTAAACAACATTTTAAAATCAGCAAATCAGATTTTCTGTCATATCAGTTTTCGGTCGACCGCACCGGTCGACCGAACCTCCATCGGTCGACCGCACCGGTCGACCGGAGATGTCTGCTTGTTTTCTTTTGTTTTCGACCTGGATAGCGGTCGACCGAAATTTCCGTCGGTCAACCGAATGATTTCGTCGGTCGACCGAAAATTTCGCCGGTCGACCGCCCCTTAGTCTGACAGTTTCCAACGGCTATTTTTTTGTTACCGTTGGCTGGGTTTTTGGTCTTTTGTTTTGGGAGTTTTGGCTGAGATTTCAAGTGGGTATAAATACCCTATTGCTGTTCTTTTTCAACTGTGCTAAGAAGTTTCTAAACAAGGTTTTAAACAAGGGTTTAAGGTTTCTACTGTTTGTTTAAGTTTGGGTTTCTGTTTACAAAGGAGGAAAGGAAGTTTTCACTGCAGATTAAGGGATTCATTCTCAATCCTCTTCATCCTCTTCTTTGTGTTCATAGAGAAGTTTTCTAACTCTTTTCTCTAGCAATTTCATTATTAATTTTCATATTCTTATTATTGCTAGTTTGCTAATTGACTTAAATTTTATTTTACTCATTGTTACACACACCCACATTGAGCTTTTAGTATTTACATACATAGTATAGTTGGGTGGTGAGAGATTGTAACTTTGAGTTGTGCTTTCATTGTGTTCTCATCCATAGTTGAGAATAATCAAATTATTGTATTGAGCCTTATTGTGAGATTCACTTTGTAATACACTTGTACACCGAGTGAGGAGTGTGTGGTGAGAGTCGGGGATCATCCCAAGAGGAGTGGTGTCGGTTGACGAGCCTAGGGAGAGGTTGTAACCGAGCACTTGAGGGAGACACGGCTAGGTCCAACACTTGGTGGGTGTAGAGTGGGATTACAATAGTGTGTTGATTGTAAAGTTTTTGGTTAGCTAGAAAATCGAGTGTGAGGTGTAAACGTTGTTCGGGTGAACGTAGAAAACCCGGTTGTGATAGTGGATTTCTCCCCGAGTGGGGAGCGGAGACGTAGGACGGAAGGTCCGAACTCCGTGATCATATCGTGTGTTTGAGTTTGTCATTGGCGTTCTTTTACATTCATGCCTATTGTTTATATCGTATATATATATATATATATTCATCATATATGATATATTTCATTGTTTACATTGCTTATCCTAGCTCATATATCTTGTGGTATTTCATACTTACTAGGATAACTTGTTAATTAATTTTAATTAGCATTTAATCGGATTAGATTAGCATAAGACCCTAATCACCCCCCTCTAGGGTCTAACATGTGTAACCTTCACAACCAACCCGTAACTACCACAACCAACCCGTAACTACCACAACCAACCCGTAAACTTCACAACCAACCCGTAAGACCTTCACAAATAACCCGTAACCTTCACAACCAATCCGTAACCTTAACAATCAACCCATAACCTTAATAACCAACGTGTAACATTCACAATCAATCCGTAACTAAGCCTAACAACCGCCCCCAACTTCTCCCAAATAGTAATATATCCTCAATTGAATCAGTTTGGATGAGAAAACCATCTTAGATGATTTCATAAACTTCTAATAAGAAACATAGGAATTAGTATGGCCTGAGCTAAAAATAAGAAAATGAAAAAAGCAATTTGTGAAGAAAGTCAATCCAGTTCTAGCGATATAGTGAGGGGGGCCGACTTCACCTTTTATTCCAACTTCAAAACTCATAGCAAAATCCAGTTCTAGCGATATAGTGAGGGGGGCCGACTTCACCTTTTATTCCAACTTCAAAACTCATAGCAAAACATATAAAAGTAGTAACTAACTTTTTGGCCGACTTCACCTTTTATTCCAACTTCAAAACTCATAGCAAAACATATAAAAGTAGTAACTAACTTTTTATTCATTGATTATCCATCATTACAAGATAAAAGCGACCCAAAAAAATTAACACTAAATACTTAAGTGCCTCATCATCCATAGATCTCCACACCCTGCATCAACAGCGAACAAAAAAAATCACAAAAAATCAACAAAAAATACATTAAAAAAAGAAAGAATTTATGGCCACAGATCGATCGATGGATTGTCTAATCGATGTCGCTGCTGCTGCTCCCATTATCGTGACCCTTCCTGTCCTCACTATGCTTCTTATTCTTCTCCTTCTTCTCTCTGTTGTGCTTCTTCTCATCGCTGTCACCGTGGATCTTGTCCATCATGCTGCCATCATCACCGTGCTTCTTGATCTCCTCGTGCTTCTTCTCCTCGACTTTGTGGTGTTTTTCTTCCTCTTTCTTGTGGTCGGCTCCTCCTCCCATTCCCAATTTCTCATTGATCTTATGAAGTTGGGGGTGGTTCATCACAGATAAAAAAGAGAGAAAGAGAGAAATGGCATTATGGTCTTCACATGTTTAAAACTCTTGCCTTTTGTATTTTGGGGACTTAGTGAATTATGAGTTTACTTTTGGGGGTTTTTGAAGCTTTGAAAAAGTCTTGGGGGTGGGTGGAACACTTGGACTCGTGTTGGGGACTAGAGGCAATTTTCCCTTTTTTTATTACCACAGTCGGCTGAATTTTGGGGAGGATTGAGGGCAATGTAACACATAACTCCTTTCCAACTTTATTAAGTATCACATCTCTCTTTTTAGAACGATTTCTGTTATATCACAGAAATTGCTAAGTGTAAACTATTCTCAAGAAGATGAAACGTGTCTCGATTAGCTGACTTAAATTTGATACACCGACCTGACCCTAGTCTAGGGTTGGGCGTGGGCTGGTCGACCTGCGGGCTAACCCGGTCCAGCCCACCATGGGTCACGACTCGGCCTGACCTAGCCCGGACCGGCCTGGCCCATGGTATACCAGGTCACGGGTCAGGCCGGGTCCAGTCCCAGACCTGGGGTTAGAGCAGTAGGCCCGGCCCATGCTGACCCGGCCCACAATCGACCCTCCTTGGCCCAACCCAACCTGCCTCGGCCCAACCTAACCCGCACTGACCCATGATATATTTTTTGGTTAGTCTAACTGTTTATTTAGCCCTTTGCGTCTGCAGTTAGCTGCCAACAAATCCAAAAGGCCACATGCCTTTAACTCGTGGGCCTTTTGGTCTATTGAGAAACAAATCAATGATCTTTAAGCTCGCCGCTGCCTAATTGGAATGATTAAAATGTTTAAGTCAAGTTTAAAAATAGTTTAATACAAGTTTAAATTACTAAAAAATTAATTAAAAATAGTTTTATAATTGTAAATATAAGTTTCATATAATTAAAAAGGTAAAAAAATATAGGGAAAAAATTGGATAAAAAACTCATGGGCTAGCCACGGCTCACGACCCATGGGCCGTGGGCCGTGTCAAACCC